TTGCAATGCGTTCTGGCGTTTTTTTTTTAGTTGAATGCGCCTGAAGTACGAAAATGCCAGATTCGTATTTTTTAAACCCCCAAAAAAAATTTGGATTTTGACTGAGTCATTACAGAGGTACCAACCATACATACACGAAACGTTTCGATTATTTGTTTCTTATGTTTCGTATTATTTTTGGTGTTTCGTGATTTTTTTGAATTTTGTGAGACCTCTGATTTTGTAATTTTAAAGCCAAAACTGAAGCCAACTGCTAAAAAATTCCCCCACGTTTATTGATAATTTAAAATTTTCGCCTGCGGCGCAAAATGGTGATAAGAAAGGTAGGGTTTCTTTTTTCTATTTTGTATTTACTAGAATATTTAATATAAGTGTTAAAGTAGTCGTTGATTTAAATAATAAAATTAACAGATATATAAAAATCGAATATTTTGTGAGCGAAAAATTATATTATGTTTGTTTAAAAAGGATTATAACATTTGAAATATGGTTTGATAAAAACTTTTTTGAGCAATGATTTTAGTATATTGTAGAAAATAATAAAATATATATATTGTAATGTTTATATATTATATCCTATACGTTTTTATTAGAGCTGGCGTTTTTGAAAAAAATTTTTTGAAAATTAACCGTTCTTAGAAAATTTTGAAGCCCGAAAACAACATTGAAAATAAGCGATTTTATTTAAAAAAAAATTCTCCCTAAATAAAACCGGTATTTGCAACTTTAATTTATATGTATATTTAAAAATATTTGTGTAAAACTATATATATATTTTGTGGAAAGTATTTTGGAAGACAGACGGAATAAATAAAAAAATGTTTTATTTGAAAAAAAAGGAAAAGAATAAAAGTCGTTCCTTTCTATCTTATGACACAGACAAAAAGGATTTTATTTATTTATTTTTTTAATTTTCAGTCGTTACTCTTTTCCCCACTTTTATGTGTAAAAAAATTGTTGTTCGCAACCTTTTTTTAAATCTTTTTATTGGAATGGACAATGACTCAGCTAAAACTCATTTTTCTTTGGTTTTTTTTGTGTCTAGGGTAATGTCTTCTGACTAATTGATACTTTAAAGATTGGAAAAGAATATAAAAAAAAATATATATTTTTTTTGTTGAAAGTGTTTTTAAAGAAAGTGAAAAAAAATTTTAAAGAAATTTTGAAGAGGAAGAAAAAAAAATTGTTTTTCCGATTATTGAAAAAATTGTTGAAGAAAAGTATTTCTTTTTTTTTGATTGTAGAAGAATTAGTATAATAATAAAAGGAAATTTTTCCATTGTTGACTTTTTAATAAAAGAAAAAAATTTTTTTTTAAAAAAGAATTTTGAAGAATTTTTGTTGTTGTTGAAATTAAAAGAATGAAGTAAAAAAAAAATTTTTTTTGAATTTTTGTTGTTGAAGTAATTAATTTTTTTTGTGTATATATTTTTATATACATTTATTATTTTTTTGTAGGCCCGTGGGCCTCATGCCACAATGGCAGCTTTTCTTCCTCCATTCCGCACCTCACCTGGATCCCCTCCCCACCGCCATGGCCAGTGGCGGGGGGAGGTGGGACGGTGCTACCAGTAAAGCTTGTGCTGGGCCAGGATGGTGTTGGGATGTTGGGCGGGTTGCGTGCGATGTTAAGGTCCCGAGAGGCGATGCCGATGAGTATATTGCGGAGCGGAGGGTAGGCCTTTCTATGCGCCGGTGCTGCTGGTCGATTACGAGATCGACTTGCCCGGGAATAATATGCGCTTGCAAGGAATTAATAATATAAGCTTTTAGCTTCTTCTGCAGGATATTCTTTCTTTACATTGATTACTTTCCAACTGACTGGTGAACAGTCGACTGATCCCGTTTTCACTATTTTCCACTAGCTTTTATCTTACGGCCTTATTTGTCAATCTCCACCCCTTATTTAATCCTTTCCCAGAGGAACTAAAGTTCCTTTTCTCCATCCTTGCCCATCCGGATCAAAGTCCGCCTTACATTTGTTAAGAAATTATAAATTTTCAAATAAATTTATTTTAAGGTAAAATGACAATTTATCAACTTACTTGAGACCAGATTTGTATTAGAATAATTTTTTCCAAAGTATATTATGTAGAAAAGTCCAAAAACTCGATTACTCGATTAATTTTTGAGTTAAATGATATACCAAATCAATGGAATATTTAAAATAATTTTTAAATAAAAATGGGCATTTGTACAGAACAACCAGAATATTAAATTATTAATTTGTAAAATTGTAATGTGTTAAATAACTTTAATGAAGATATTTTTAAAATACCCAGGTGATTAGTATTTTATGGACACACGCGCCTATGGTTGATTTTGCCGTGCAGTAAATAAAATATTAGGGGAATATATGTACATCAATAAATTTTTTATTTAAAAAAATACATATAACACGTTTATTTATTTTTTAAAAAGGGTACAACATTTATTAAGTTTTTTATAACTCTCAAAGATTAACGTAATCTTTGATATTTAAATTTAATATAAATAATAATTTTATTTAGTTATATTTAATTAATTTTTATTTAAACTTTCCCAATTATTTTTAGAAAACAAAATTTAAAAAATGAAAAATTTAATATTTTTAATTATTTTTTTGATTATTTTTTCGTCGCAATTTGACCGTAATAATGGAAATGTCATTATTAATCTTAATGAAAAACACCAAGTTATTGACGGGTTTGGTGCATCTACAGCTTGGCAAGGAGCAGTTTCCGATCAGATAATGAATGAACTGTAAGGGATTTTTAATTTAAATAATCTGAGGGCCTGAAGGACTAGAGAGATGTTTAACATTCAAATAAGTTTATTTATTAAAATAGAATATAAGATTCGAATATAGAAATAATTTTATAAATACTCGCAAAAATAAATTTGTTTGAATTTATAGATATGGAACTCTTGGTTATTCAATCCTTCGTGTTCGAATTGATGAACATAAGCAATGGGATAATGAATTATCTAATGCCAAAAAAGCATTAAAATTTAATGCCAAAGTATTCGCCTCTCCTTGGTCTGCCCCCGCTAATATGAAAGAAAATAAACAAGATAAACCTGGCTCTCTCAGTTCTAACCAATATAGCAATTATGCTGATTATTTAAAAAGTTTTGTTGATTATTTCAAAAATAATGGTGTTTCTCTCTATGCAATTTCGATAATCAATGAGCCTGATTTTGCTTTACAAGTAACTTATAATACAATGAGTTTTACAACAGATCAAATGAAAAATTTTTTGAAAAATTTTGCGCGAAGAATTAAATCGGGAAGTAATGTAAAAATTATGGCACCCGAATCTTATGGATATAAAACAGATATGAATGATGCAATTTTAGTAAATTTTTTTATTTAAAGAAATTATTGTTAATAAGTAAACCCCATAAGTAAAAAAACCCCCAACTAAGTATAATAGACTTAATTATCCGGCCGTAATAATAATTACTCCATTAAGCTGGAAAATTAGTTTGGCTAAAAATAAAAATAAGTATTCTAATAAAAATTTTAATTAAAGAACGACCCTCAATCTGCTGCTGTAGTTGATATTGATGCAATTCATGCATATGGATTCTCTATGAAACCCCAACCTTTGGTAAAAAAATCTGGAAAGCAATTTTGGATGACCGAACATTCTATCGATGGAAGTGATTTTAATAGTGTTATGAAAACAGCCGAAGATATTCATAATTGTTTGACAATTGCTGAATTTAATGCTTATATTCATTGGTGGTTAAGAGATACAAATCCAAATCCTTCTCCAAATATGATGCTTTTATTTCAAAATATGCAATTAACGCCTAAAGCTTTTGTTATAGGACATTTTGCAAAATTTATTAGACCTGGATATGTTAGGGTCAATTCTGTCAGTTCTAATAATAATAATTTGCTTGTGAGTGCATACACAGGGAATGGAAAGGTGATTAGTTAATTAAGTGAAGTTAATTAATTTATCTGAATCTTTCAATACCTACTAAGGATTTCTTTTAATCATTATCTATTTAATTATTATTATATAGACTTAATTAAATGTAAAATAATTTATTAGTTGTGTTATTGAATAGGAGGGCATACTAGACTGAAGCGTTCTCTGTTATTTTTTAAAATATTCCTAATTATTTTTAAACGGTACACCTCAATTGAGTCCGCACGATTGAGTCCCCACGATTGAGTCCGCACGATTGAGTCCCCACGATTGAGTCCCGGCACAATTGAGTCCCGGCACGATTGAGTCCGCACGATTGAGTCCCCCTTGTATATACCTCAATTGAGTCCCCGTGGATTTAATTATATTAAAAAGGATTAAGAGGGATATCGGGGGATTTGGGGGGATTAAAGTGAAAATTAGGGGACTTGTATTCGACATCGAGGGATCAAGTTGGATATCGGTGGATATGGAGGGATATAAGTAGATTTAAGCGATTAAGGGGGATATCGGTGCATATTGTGGATTTGGGGATTAGGAGGGATATCGAGAGATTTTTTGAATGACAGCTCATTCGAATGAGCTGAGTCGAATGACACCAAAATCAACATGGTTGAACAAGTTCTCGCCGAGATTGGGGCTCGAAATGGTCAAATCCATGAGGGAATTTTTGGGGTGAAAAATTCGAATAAACACAAAATAGCTCATTCGAAAGTACTCGACGAGCTGAGTTGAATGATACCAAAATCAGCTCGATTGGACGATATTGAACAGAATTATGATCAACTGAATCTTCGATGGAAAACTTTTTTGTGCTGCTACTCAGGGTATTTGGGGTGCAGCAGGGGTGTTCAGGTGGTCTGCCCGGCATTTATACTTTAAAAAATAGAAATTTTAGAATAATCCCGCATGCCGGATATGGAAATTTTAAACTTATTAAATCCACGGGGACTCAATTGAGGTATATACAAGGGGGACTCAATCGTGCGGACTCAATCGTGGGGACTCAATTGTGCCGGGACTCAATCGTGGGGACTCAATCGTGCGGACTCAGTTGAACTGCTCCGATTTTTAAAGGTAGTAATTGTGGCAATAAATATGGGATCCTCTCCTATATCACAACAATTTTCAATTAATGGAGGAACATTACCAACTTCATTCAGTTCATATATTACTTCTCAAGGCAAAAATTTTCAACAACAAAATAACATAAAAGTAACAGGAGGATCATTTACATATTCATTTCCATCACAAAGTGTAACTACTTTAGTTTCACTTTAAAAGAAAAAAATTAATAATAATTAAATATTATTGTTATGAGGCAACAAACAATTATTTAAAAATAATTCTATTAGAAATGAGATTTTATAAATACTCTATTTAGTATTTTACATTGAACGAAAACGCTTTTATTTTTATTTCTTTAATTTGGCTATTAAATCCTTTTTTTCTTTTAATTAAACTTTTTATTTTTATAATGATTTCCTCAAATTATTATCTACAATCCTTTTCCTCATAAAATTAACTAATATTTATTTGTCTACTTTTTCTCTCTCACTTACCTTATGATTGATCAAATCTTGAGCCTTACGTGTATAAGTTCAACACTAAATAATCATCAAAATCTTTTATATAATTTTTTGGATTAGTAAGAGATAAAAGAAAGAGATTTTAGATAAAGTAGAGAATTTAGAGAGAATAATGAAGAAATAAATGATGACGTAGAGGGGAGGGAGAGTGAAACAAATGAATAAAAATAAATATTCAATATATTTATGTGAGGACAAACAAATCTCCTCAAATCACAATTTTTACTTAGTAAAATAAAGCTTTAACGCGGCCTGAAACAGCAGCTGTCTTTTTCTTTTGTTTAGAATTTTTTAGTTTTTTTGACACGAGGCTGAAAAGAAAATTCGAGAAATACGAGGTTTGAATGGCTAGAAAAATGATAATAATCTTCTGATTTAATAGAAGATGGCTAAAAATATAAATTTTTAAAGTCTTTTCACTGATATTAAATCTAAAATTTGTTTCAGAAATAATTTAAGTAAAAATAAGGAACTCTGATTAACCAAGTCAAACACAGATATATAAAATGTAATTACATATTATTAAAATGAGTAATTATGAAATTAATATTGTTGAATTCCTCAATTTTATTTAAATTAATAATTAAATAAATAATCAAAATTAAATAATCACAATTTTACAAATTTATTATTTGAGTAAAAGACCTCGATATTTATTTTAGTTTTATTTTATCTAGCTAACTTTTGTGTGCTTTGACTTTAAACTAGAGAAGAACTACACATTTATTTATTAGTAATCACTTTTTCTTTTATTTTCCTCATTTTACGAGATTTATTCTTAAAATATAAAAACGTTAAAAATTTTATTGGTAAATTAATTTTTTTATGAATCTTAATTTAAAAGTTAGCCATAGTTTTACATAGTTTTATTATTTTGTTATAATATAAATACCGTATTTTTCCCAATAGAAGCGCACGTCCCATTTGAAGCGCACGTCCTAATAGAAGCGCAGTCTACGAGGAGGTTGAAAAATACAAGCGCAGGTCCCATTAGAAGCGCATGTCCTATTAGAAGCGCACCTTATGAAATTTTTATTTAAGCAATTACTCTGTTACATAGTTACTATTTTAAATAAGTATTATTCATTTACATTTAGATAAAGAATTTACACCCCTCCCCCGAAAATGCAACCTTATTCTATCGATAAATTTTTCAATCTTCCCTTTGTACTACTTTCATTTAAAAGACCTGATCCCTCTCTTGTCTAAAAATTTAGGGTTTTGAGTTATAATTGGGGAAAAACTTATTTCCATCTTGACTAGGGGATGGACTGGAATCCCCTCGCCAAGGGATTCCAGTGTTGGGTAATCATAGTTCTTGCAACGCTTGCTTATTTGGGTCCACCACCAATGAAATTTTATTTGGGATGGATAGTTGAAGCATGAGATGTAATTTCAAAAGAAAATGTTGCAAAAAGCTTTTGGGGTGTGGAATTGGAATTATGTAAAAGTGATGTTCCGAAGATGATGAAATAAATAGTTTTAGGCCAGATGGTTTGAAAGTAATTTCTGCCAAACATTCTGAAAGTATTTCAGAATGTTTGGCAGAAATTGATCTTAATGAAGTTTATGAAAACGGAATTGAAATTGATAATTCTATAGAGATTTAATATATGTTTTAAATTTCTATTATGTTATAAAAATTAATTCGCATAGGAGTTGAAAAATAAAAGCGCACGTCCCATTTGAAGCGCACGTTCCAATAGAAGCGCAGTCTACGAGGAGGTTGAAAAATAGAAGCGCATGCGCTTCTATTGGGAAAAATACGGTAACTCCAAATATAAGTCTTCTAATTGGAGTTATATTAGAATATGTAAGTATGTAATTTTAGAATATGTAAGTATGTAAATTTTTGACTCTACATAATTATAACCTCACAGTAAATTTTCGTGTTTCTTGATTTCTATCACATCAACCGAGGTGACTTTTATTTAATATTAATTACGACAGTTAATTAATAGTAAAAATTATATGAATAATAATAATAAAATATTTAATAATAGTAATTAATAATAAAAATCGAAAAGATTTTCATTTTAAAATTTTTTATAGAAAAGATTTTTTTCTTCATTGAGAGATCTCCTTTCTTCAATTCCTTTCTTCAATGTTACCTGTCGTAATTAAAATTAAATAGAAATAGCCCGTTTGATGCAATAGAAATCAAGAAACACTAAAATTTAGGGTCAGGTTATAATGACGTGGGACTGTATTAATCAATTTTTTATTTGAATCTATTAAATTGTATTTCAGTTACTTCTCGTAAATGAGAAAATAAAATAAAATTCAAATGAAAATATTTGTAAAAGTTTGCTAACAAAAAATTAAAAATATCTGTTTATTTATTATATGGAAGAAATTCCTGTAGCCGTTGAGGGCGAAAAGTCACCTTTAAATGTCAGCACAGTTAAGGAGCCATGTACAAATCCACTCGAACAGATTGAACGTCTTTTGACTTGTCCAATATGTCTTGACCGGTTAAAATAAAATTTAAAAATATTTTTACCTTCCTTACAAGATTAAATTAATTTTAATTCTCTCTCTCAGGTATAAACAACCAAAACTTCTGCCATGTCAGCACACATTCTGTTTATCTTGTTTAGAAAGTTATGTTGAATCTACTGGAGGCAGACCTCGTCTTCGATGTCCAGAATGCCGTAATGAACATTCATTGTCTTTGGATGGGGGTGTTCAGTCGCTACAAACAAATCTTACATTGCTTTCATTCCTTGAAATTCATATGGAAGCGAGTGCAGCTAATGCCGAAGAAATGCAGGCTTATGTTCAACGGTTGAATATATTGAAACCTAACTTTTTAAGTTATTAATTTCTAGTTTCAATATGGAAAGATGCCGAGTTTGTGAGGAAAAGGCGGAATTAGAGCTTTGTGTTCATTGTGAACGTAAATGCTGTTCTGAGTGTAGAACCTCTCATTTGGATATGCTTAAACGTGATTTGAGTAGACTTTTAGGACAAGTACTTTTTTAGTATCCAATTGTGAAATATTATAATTAAATTTAAAAGGTTCGGCGTCTTTCCACGCGTGTTCGCGAAGCTAGTTCTGGATTAGGTCGAGGTCTTGAACATATGTTAGCAAATGGGGAACAAACTAAACAAGAAATCCGTGAATACTTTAATAGATATCAGCGAGAATTGAAAATTAGAGAAGAAAATTTTATTGAACAGGTCAAAGCTTTTTCATAAAGCTTGAACCAAACTATTAAATATTTTTAAGGCAGATGTGTTTATCCAAAACGAAGAAAGATTGTTAAGAACATTGCGTGATGCTTTAGATGTTGAATGGAATAATTTACAAGATGCTTGTCTTTGGGTGGATTCTGTTTTAAATGGGCAACGAACGGCTCGGGATGATGAATTGGCACGATTTAAGGTGTTTAAAATGTTTTATAAAATAATTTAAAAAAATATTTTTAGTTAGAATTTCAACAAGGACTTGATTATCTTCGTTCATTTCAACCAGATTCTGATGAATTATTTGCAAAAAAGTTGCGATTCTCACCTGGGGATGATGCTGCAAAGTTACCCACAGCAATAGCTAATTTTGGCGAAGTTTATTTTAAATAATTGATAGAAAAATAATAATTTTTTAGCTCTCAGTTTCTCTGCCACAATTTGCAAATCGTTACCTCCCATTAGAACAACAATATTTGCCTAGGCCATTTCGAATGGGGCTTGAATCAGATAATTTTATGAGGTTCCAAAAACAACTAAGAGGGGGAGGAGAAGGTAGTAAATTAAGTTATCGGGTAGAAAAAGAAAATTTAGAAGTCGAGAATGCTGGGGCAACACGTTGGAGAAGGAGGAAAGAATTGGAGGATGAGGTAGAAACAATTAATTTTTTTAATTAAGTGAATTAATTGTGAACGTTTCTAAAGGCATGGAATCGTCTTCACGCTGATGGATTAACACCTCCACCTCCTTGGTCATCCAATACTTCCCACCCAACATCTAATAGAGCATCCCCAATGCCCCAACTTCAAATTGACACAAATATAGGGAAAGGTGCTGGAATACCTTCAAAATCCCCAGTTTCTCAAACAACCCCGACAAACACAAAAAACACAATTTTATCTCCAATACCTAATAAAGTGACGGAAAAAGGAGAAATTGTTGATAATAATTTGAATACAACAAAAATATCATTAAATTCTCCATCCAACAACAATTCTCCAAAAAATGCTTTATCCCCTACAACAATTTTGGATGATTCCAAAACATCCCCCAAACAATCCCAACAAAAACCCCAAACTCAACAAATACAAAAAAGCGGTATTCCAGCTCTAACAACAAACACAACAAATAAATCTGGAAATTCTGCTACGAATGTTTCAGGTTCTCGAGGACGTCTTTTAATGGTAACTGGTCCAAGTCGTGGAGGTAGTAACAGTAATATAAGTGATGGAACTACAATATCGACTGGTCAAGGGCAGAATACAAGTGGAGGAGGGGTAAAAATAAATTTTTATTAATTTTTCCTCAAAAATTTCTTTAATATTTCCCTCACAAATTAATTTCCCTCAAAAATTATTTAGAGAAGAATAAGTGGTGGAGGAACAATAACAACTCCAATCATTCAACAACAACAACAGAAAAAAACTTCCCAAAAGCCTCCACTTCCAACAACACAACGTCAAATTTCTAATGAAGAATCTTCAAAAGGAAATAAAAAAGCTTCTAATAATAGCAGAAAAAATTCATTAGAAAAATCAGAAGATGAACAACAACAAAATTTAAAAAGTAATGAAAATAAAAAACAACAAAAGGCAAGTAAATAAATTAATGAGTTTATTTTTTAATCCCAGATTAGTTAGAATGATTCGGTGATTTTTTCTTAAATTTCTTTCTTCCTATAGTATTTTTAATTTGCCCGGTTAATGAATACTGTTTATACTCTATTAATAATACTTTTGGTAATTATTGTTTCTACCTCTCTCTGGAGAGGGTAATTAATAGAGGTTATTTTAGGAAGGCTAATCATGACTATTTTTAAGGGGGTAATTATTGTTTCAAACTTTCACTGGAAGGTGTAACTAAATAATAGAGGTTGGGTAATTATTTGAGGGAGGGTAATTAATAGAGCATATACGGTATATAATAGTAAAATCTCTAATTGAATGCCCGGACATTCTATTTTTCTTTAGCCTTCCAAAAATTAGAGATTTTATAATATTTTTTGTTTTACATATTTTTCTTTATTCTTTACCCAGTGAACTTTTAAAAATAAGCTTATTATACAAACAAATTGTAAATATCGTTTATAATTTAGTATATGACAAACAAACAAAAATACATATAATTCTTTTTCCCATTATTATTTTTGAGAAAATTATTTTAAAAAATACAAAATTTTTTTGTTAATTTTTGCAGATATTTTTTTGGAAATATTTAAATTTGTTTGTAAAATAAGAAATCCAAATTTTCGTATTTTTTGTATTATTAAATTTTTGAATAAATAAAGGATTGAATTTTTGTTTGTTTGTTAAAAATAAAACGATAAAAATTTAAGGATATTTTTTTACTTAAAAATTCCTTATAAAAAAATTAAAGGGAGGAAGAATACATTGCCGTTCTTCATCTCATGGAAGACCAGCATCCTCCCAAACTCGTCGTCCATCTATTGAAGAAGGTGGACAGTCTATTCCTGTGGTTGGTTGTTTGTTAAAATTAGAAAGATTTATTACATAACATTAAGTTAACAAAGTATTTTAACTTTAGAGTTGAGATTCTGCTAGGAGTGTAAAAACTGTTTTAATAAAAGATCTGATTTGTTTATTTTGAATTTTGATTTATTTGAGTTTAATATACCGGATTTATTCTAATAGAACCACCGGTGGTTCTATTTTTCAACCCATCCGAGAGGGGTGGTTCTAATAGAGACTGTAGTTCTATTGAATAAATCCGGTAATTGTGGAAGCTTTTGATTTAAAGTTTTATGGTTGCTATTAAAAGTCTGATATGTTTAATAGAAAATTTTGATATTTTTAAATGAAATTTTGATTTTTTTTCCAAAATTTTAAAATAAAAATTTAACTAAATAATTTACTTATTCTTTCCTTAATTTGTTGGCTTTCTTCCCAACAAAAAGCACAGGAGAATGGATATCGGAGCAACAACGTTGTGGACTTCTTTTAAGCCGTTCTCGATCCAATCCACAATTGTTTAGTAATGGAATTGCACCAAAATTTATTTCTCTTTCAAAAAAAGCTGAACTTTTGGGAAATTCTCAATTAAGAGTAATAAATAAATAAAGATTTATTTTTAAAAAAATTAATAATTATTTTAGCAATCTCGTTTTGATAATTCTGGGAACAGAAATTTGGAGAACAAAAATAAAATTAACAAAAATGTGAATGAAGAAGAAGATTTCTATACACGTTTGAGGCCTAGACCAAAATTAATTTTAGGCGGAAGAGGAGCTTTAGGATTGTTTGTTTTTTCTGAATATTAAAAAAATAAAAATAATTTTAAAAGGCTAAATTGGCCCAGAGGTTTGTGTGCTGTCCCAAGGGAACTTTTTGAGGAAGAAGATGATTTTGGAACAATTCTGGCTGTAGCAGATAGCAGTAATCATCGAATACAACTTTTTAGTTCTACTGATGGACTTTTGATACGTTCATTTGGAAGTTTTGGGAAGGAAGATGGGCAATTTGATGGTAAAATTTACTCTTGGCTATAGATGGAAATGTTAATGTAAAAATGTCATTAATGGATATTAAGATAAATTTATGTAGCTAATAGTGAGAGCTGACATCATTTTTTAAATTAATACTTAATAAATATTTAAAGTTTATTAAAGGTTGTTGTTCTGTCTGTGTTCATCACAAACGTAAAGAACTTTTTGTTGCAGATCGCTACAACCATAGGTACATATTATGGGAATGTTTATTTGTAAATTAATTTTTAGAGTTCAAGTTTTTGACCTCAAAGGCCGGTAGAGGAATTTTATAATTAAATAGAAAAATATTTTTATTTTTAAAGTTTTCTTCGAAAATTTGGAGTTAGAGGTTCAGGACCTTCACAATTCCAACATTGTTGGGGTATTGCAATTGATGAACATTTAGGTGTTGTGTATGTGGCAGATAAGGATAATCATCGTGTACAAATATTTAATGAGGATGGAACATTCCTTTCACGTTTTGGGTCTGAGGGTGATGGACCTAAGCAACTAGATCATCGTTAGAATTTTTAAATAAAAAATATGTATAAAAAAGTGAATTAGTGTGTTTATTACAAAACGTTGCCAAAAACTTTACAAGGAAAAATAAAGACTGAAAATAAAGACTATATCTAAATCCCATATAAACGCGAAGTCTCTTCGCGTGACTTAGATTACTAACCTACCCTAAGTCGAAATCCCATATAAACGCGAAGTCTCTTCGCGTGACTTAGATTACTAACCTACCCTAAGTCGAAATCCCATATAAACGCGAAGTCTCTTCGCGTGACTTAGATTACTAACCTACCCTAAGTCGAAATCCCATATAAACGCGAAGTCTCTTCGCGTGACTTATAAAAGTCAAATTAGTTTTAACTGGAAAAAGAAGGATTTTTGAATTAATTTATAACTAAATTAATTTTTTAGCTCTATATTTAATGTTTGATCCAAATCAACGCCTTCTTTACGTATCAGATTCTGCCAACAATAGATTATGCATTTATTCTCCAGATGGATTACCTGTCTTTCAATTTCAAGGGAGTGAAGATGATGCTGAACAGTTAAAATTGCCAAGAGGGATTGCTTTAGATAAGGTAAAAAGTTTTGATTTTTATTTGCTAAATTATTTTTTCCTTGTATTAATTTAATAATTCCAAAAAATATAATACTATGTCCAATAATCTTTAAATTTAAAACAAAAATAATTTTTTATTTAAAAGAGTGGTCACCTTCTAGTTGCTGACAGTGGAAACAGTCGTGTACAAATTTACTCTAAATATTCTGGAGGACATAAAATTATAAAAAAGTTTGGGAGTTGGGGGCCTTCTCCAGGGCAATTTAAAGGTGTTGAGGGTATTTGTTGTTTACAGAATGATGAAAATAATGAGGAAATTTTGTTGGCAATTGCTGACAGAGAAAATAATCGAGTTCAATTGTTTGGATAAATGTAAAAATGTTGGCAAAAAAATAAAATTTTAATTAAAAATGATATTTTTAATAATCACTTTTTAAATTAATTTTTAGTGCTTTCATTAATAAAATGAATAAAAACATTATTTAATTTTCTGATAACCGACTATAAATGAGAGAAAAGTTAACAACCAAAAATAAATTTACAATATCAGAATTTAATTTAAAATAAAATACCAAATCTTTATTTTCAAATAAATGCCCATAATTGAATCTCAACGACAAAAAATAAATCAAAATAAAATATATTTAGTGGAATGTGTGTGTTGTGTGCTTACATAATTTAAAATAGAGTTGCACCCCGATCCCGAAAAAGTTTCGGAATTTTCGGGGTATACACCCCTTAAATTGCCATTTTTAGAGAAATTTAAAGAAAAAAAATTCTAAAAATTTTTTGCAAATTCACTTTGTAATTATTATTTTGGAGGAAAAATGAAAGAAATATCAAAATTCTATTTAATATACTCAAGAGCTGTGTGGTTAAGTGGTGAGATTGGTACCTCCGCTTACAGTTCTATCAATATAGTGAATGGTTCGAATCCAATTTAGTAGACTGTCTTATTTTTTTTTCCGTATAAAAATAAAAAAGATGGAATTGCTTGGAAAATTAATATTTGAATAAACTGGAAAAAACAAAATCAGAATTTAATAAAAACAATTGTTTTAGTTGGGAAAAACAAAATCAGAATTTAATAAAAACAATTGTTTTAATTGGGAAAAACAAAATCAGAATTTAATAAAAACAATTGTTTTAGTTGGGAAAAACAAAATCAGAATTTAATAAAAACAATTGTGTTTTTTGAAAAAACAAAATCAGAATTTAATACAATTGTTTTACAAAATTTTTTTTAAAGATTTTACCGAATGTATATTATACATGTATTAGCCATTGCACTTTTGATTTTATGAATTATTTTTAAATGGTTTTTATTTATTTTTTAAATAATTGAAGCAAATTTAAAGATAAATTTAAAGATAAAAGTCTACTAATAAAATAATCATTAAAAATTATTTTCAATTTTTAATCACAAATTAATTTTTAATATTTTCCAAAAAATATTTACGACTTAAATATAATTCAAAGAAAATTTACAGAAAAAAAAGTCTGATACAATAACCTAAACAGAAGGAAAATCTGTCAAGACATTCATATATACTATTAAAAATCACAACAATTTTTTCCAAAAATCCTTCATTTATTACTCTAGACACTTAATTAGACGTTTGAGCGTGAACTTGCAGCTGTTGTAGAAGCATCCGATCCACTAGTTGAAGCTCCGTTTGATGTTGACGTGCCAGCAGTTTCCGAAATATCCTGAAATTTTTAGATTTTAATAAAATTTATTATCTATAGTCAGAGCTTACCGTTGCTTCCCCATCCTCATCATCATTACGCTCATTTGCTTGAACTTCCTTAAAAATAAATCATTAGATGTTTATCTACAACTAAAGCTACCTCTTCTCCATCTTCTACAGCAACATTACCAACTGGATCAACATGAGCATTCCCCTTTAAATTACAATATTAGGAAATGTTTAAAACCACAGTTATACCTCTATCATTTGATTGACCTCCCTTTCCGCATTTTCGTCGTCAATTGCAGCTTGAATTGATGCTTCATTAATGACATTACGAGCTGCTGCACGAGCCTCAATAGCCAAAATTGTTGTAGTAATAGCATTTGTTGCTCCAGTAACGACATCTCTAACAACATTCTGCTGAGGTTCACCAAACTCGCGTGCTGTTTCAGCTACAGTTGCCAGGTTTTCTAAAGAGACAGATAAAGCGGTAATTGTATCCTTTGCTTCATCTTCAAGATCTTCAGCATTTGCAACAGCTTCAGCGACCTCTTTCGCTTTATCTACCGAAGACATGGTGTATAAAAATAGAGAAATACTAACTAAAAATTAAGGAAAGATAAGGTTACGACACTTTAGAGGAGAAGAATAAAATTTTTGGGAGAATTTTTATAATCTTTTATAGTAAGATCTAAGCACTTCAAGGATATGAAGATTTTTTAAACACAGGAAAGGGTGAATGGCAAACTTAAGTTCAGTAAAATGTAACAATTGCCCCCAATTTCGACAGAACTCGAATTAAAACTTTCAATCACATTGATTTGGCATAAGTTTATCATCATTTTTAACATAAACACTTCTGTTTAAAACATTGTTTTGAAAGATTATTCAAGCTTTAAAAACATTTTTTAACCTTTTACACTTAATTTAATTCTGGTTTTAAAAAAATATTCTTAAGCATGTTCAGTTGTTTTTATTAAATTCTGATTTTGTTTTTTTCCAATTAAACAATGTTTTTATTAAATTCTGATTTTGTTTTCACCAATTAAACACAATTGTTTTTATTAAATTCTGATTTTGTTTTTACCAATTAAACACAATTGTTTTTATTAAATTCTGATTTTGTTTTTACCAATTAAACACAATTGTTTTTATTAAATTCTGATTTTGTTTTCACCAATTAAACACAATTGTTTTTATTAAATTCTGATTTTGTTTTTACCAATTAAACACAATTGTTTTTATTAAATTCTGATTTTGTTTTCACCAATTAAACACAATTGTTTTTATTAAATTCTGATTTTGTTTTCACCAATTAAACACAAATGTTTTTATTAAATTCTGATTTTGTTTTCACCAATTAAACACAATTGTTTTTATTAAATTCTGATTTTGTTTTCACCAATTAAACACAATTGTTTTTATTAAATTCTGATTTTGTTTTCACCAATTAAACACAATTGTTTTTATTAAATTCTGATTTTGTTTTCACCAATTAAACACAATTGTTTTTATTAAATTCTGATTTTGTTTTCACCAATTAAACACAATTGTTTTTATTAAATTCTGATTTTGTTTTTACCAATTAAACACAATTGTTTTTATTAAATTCTGATTTTGTTTTCACCAATTAAACACAATTGTTTTTATTAAATTCTGATTTTGTTTTTACCAATTAAACACAATTGTTTTTATTAAATTCTGATTTTGTTTTCACCAATTAAACACAATTGTTTTTATTAAATTCTGATTTTGTTTTCACCAATTAAACACAAATGTTTTTATTAAATTCTGATTTTGTTTTTACCAATTAAACACAATTGTTTTTATTAAATTCTGATTTTGTTTTCACCAATTAAACAATGTTTTTATTAAATTCTGATTTTGTCTTTTCCAATTAAACAATGTCTTTATTGAATTCTGATTTTTTCTTCCCAAATAAATACAATTGATTTTATAAAATTTTGATTTTGTTTTTTCCAAATAATTTTGGGTGATTTAAATGAAGAATTGAAGAAATCATTAAATGGTCAACAACAGTGATGCAAAAGTTCCAATTCCAGTTCCGGAATTCCAGTTCCGGAACTTGTTTGGAACTGGAACCGGCAGAGGTCTGGGACTGGTTTGAGCCGGTTCCGGAACCGGTTCCAAAGGTACACCCATAATGATGAGTGAAAGAGAAGTGAGCAAAAGACTGTAGGCGTGAGAGTAAAAGTAAGTGAAAATTGAGACGAGTAAAATTGAGACGAGTCTTCAGCAGCTACTTTACTTTATAATTCACCTCATTTCCACATGCTTCTACATTTATTATTAATTGCAATTAATTTATTAAGTGGTGATTTTACTATTAAATTAATTAAAGCATTTCGACCATCTAAATTGCAATCAATTTGTTCTTTTATTTCTCCAAATGGTTTTTCTTTATTACAAATTCTTGCAAAAATTGTCGAAAAACATTATCCTGAATTGGCTAATTTTGTTTGCAACGAAAAGAGTTTGGTTATTGGAGAGGCTGCAAAAGGTGAATTTTTGTCTTTAAAATTAAAAAAAATATTCTTTAACACTGATATAGGGATTTTTTAGTTTATAAAGGTGGTTCTTGTTATTTTTAATTTTGAAATAAATTTGGAAGAAATTTTTAATTATTATTTTATTTTCAAGTCAATTTTGCTTGTGTTTCCAAAGAATTACATTCGTTAGAACGTGGACAATCACTTGTTGAAGAAGAGTTAATTTATCTTACAGAGGAAACAACTACTAATAATGGGTGTGGAAAAAGTCAACAGCAACAACAATTAGCTGCTTTTTCTGCTCATTTAACTACAGAAATTGTTCACTTAAAAGAATCTATGCAAAGCTTAAAGGTATGCAAAGCCTGTTATTATTTGAGATTTTTTTAATTTTGAGAAATTAATTATTTTAAAAATTGGATAAATATTTTTTCCAATAAAAATATTAATAGATTAACATCCCTTTGGTACTTGGGAATATTCAGGATTTTTCAATCCTTTCTTAAATTTTGAATGAAAATGTTTTTCTAAATTATTTAATTTACGATTATTTTTCAAATATATTTTTTAATTTTGTAAATTTCAGAATCAATTAATTAACACATTAAACTTTTTTGGCGAAATTGAAGAGGAACAAGATTATGAAAATAATAATAAATATTTTAATAATAATTTCCAAAAATTATTCCATCCTGAACGTTTCTTTGAAGTTATTGCTAATTTTTTGGGTGATTTAAATGAAGAATTGAAAAATCATTAAATGGTCAACAATGAATATATTTTTGTGATTATTTTAAATTTATTTGCAATTTTTTTGATTTCAATTTCTCTCTCTCACTTTATTGCAATTTTCAAATATTAATTTTCGTGCAATTTAATCTAATTTTATTTAAAATTTAATCTCCCCTAAAACCTAACCTAACCTAGATCTAAATCCCATATAAACGCAAAGTCTCTTCGCGAGACTTAGATTATTAACCTACCCTAAGTCGAAATCCCATATAAACGCAAAGTCTCTTCGCGAGACTTAGATTACTAACCTACCCTAAGTCGAAATCCCATATAAACGCAAAGTCTCTTCGCGAGACTTAGATTACTAATTTACCCTAAGTCGAAATCCCATATAAACGCAAAGTCTCTTCGCGAGACTTAGATTACTAACTTAACCTAGATCTAAATCCCATATAAACGCGAAGTCTCTTCGCGAGACTTAGATTACTAACCTACCCTAAGTCGAAATCCCATTTAAACGCAAAGTCTCTTCGCGAGACTTAGATTACTAACCTACCCTAAGTCGAAATCCCATATAAACGCAAAGTCTCTTCGCGAGACTTAGATTATTAACCTACCCTAAGTCGAAATCCCATATAAACGCAAAGTCTCTTCGCGAGACTTAGATTACTAACCTACCCTAAGTCGAAATCCCATATAAACGCAAAGTCTCTTCGCGAGACTTAGATTACTAACCTAACCTAGATCTAAATCCCATATAAACGCGAAGTCTCTTCGCGAGACTTAGATTACTAACCTAACCTAGATCTAAATCCCATATAAACGCGAAGTCTCTTCGCGAGACTTAGATTACTAAACTAACCTAGAGCTAAATCCCATATAAACGCGAAGTCTCTTCGCGAGACTTAGATTACTAACCTAACCTAGATTTAAATCCCATATAAACGCGAAGTCTCTTCGCGAGACTTAGATTACTAACCTAACCTAGATCTAAATCCCATATAAACGCGAAGTCTCTTCGCGAGACTTAGATTACTAAACTAACCTAGAGCTAAATCCCATATAAACGCGAAGTCTCTTCGCGAGACTTAGATTACTAACCTACCCTAAGTCGAAATCCCATATAAACGCAAAGTCTCTTCGCGAGACTTAGATTACTAACCTAACCTAGAGCTAAATCCCATATAAACGCGAAGTCTCTTCGCGAGACTTAGATTACTAACCTAACCTAGATCTAAATCCCATATAAACGCGAAGTCTCTTCGCGAGACTTAGATTACTAAACTTACCTAGAGCTAAATCCCATATAAACGCGAAGTCTCTTCGCGAGACTTAGATTACTAACCTACCCTAAGTCGAAATCCCATATAAACGCAAAGTCTCTTCGCGAGACTTAGATTACTAACCTAACCTAGAGCTAAATCCCATATAAACGCGAAGTCTCTTCGCGAGACTTAGATTACTAACCTACCCTAGAGCTAAATCCCATATAAACGCGAAGTCTCTTCGCAAGACTTATATTACTAACCTAACCTAGATCTAAATCCCATATAAACGCGAAGTCTCTTCGCGAGACTTAGATTACTAACCTAACCTAGAGCTAAATCCCATATAAACGCGAAGTCTCTTCGCGAGACTTAGATTACTAACCTACCCTAAGTCGAAATCCCATATAAACGCAAAGTCTCTTCGCGAGACTTAGATTACTAACCTAACCTAGAGCTAAATCCCATATAAACGCGAAGTCTCTTCGCGAGACTTAGATTACTAACCTACCCTAAGTCGAAATCCCATATAAACGCAAAGTCTCTTCGCGAGACTTAGATTACTAACCTACCCTAGATCTAAATCCCATATAAACGCGAAGTCTCTTCGCGAGACTTAGATTACTAACTTAACCTAGATCTAAATCCCATATAAACGCGAAGTCTCTTCGCGAGACTTAGATTACTAACCTACCCTAAGTCGAAATCCCATTTAAACGCAAAGTCTCTTCGCGAGACTTAGATTACTAACCTACCCTAAGTCGAAATCCCATATAAACGCAAAGTCTCTTCGCGAGACTTAGATTATTAACCTACCCTAAGTCGAAATCCCATATAAACGCAAAGTCTCTTCGCGAGACTTAGATTACTAACCTACCCTAAGTCGAAATCCCATATAAACGCAAAGTCTCTTCGCGAGACTTAGATTACTAACCTAACCTAGATCTAAATCCCATATAAACGCGAAGTCTCTTCGCGAGACTTAGATTACTAACCTAACCTAGATCTAAATCCCATATAAACGCGAAGTCTCTTCGCGAGACTTAGATTACTAAACTAACCTAGAGCTAAATCCCATATAAACGCGAAGTCTCTTCGCGAGACTTAGATTACTAACCTACCCTAAGTCGAAATCCCATATAAACGCAAAGTCTCTTCGCGAGACTTAGATTATTAACCTACCCTAAGTCGAAATCCCATATAAACGCAAAGTCTCTTCGCGAGACTTAGATTACTAACCTACCCTAAGTCGAAATCCCATATAAACGCAAAGTCTCTTCGCGAGACTTAGATTACTAATTTACCCTAAGTCGAAATCCCATATAAACGCAAAGTCTCTTCGCGAGACTTAGATTACTAACTTAACCTAGATCTAAATCCCATATAAACGCGAAGTCTCTTCGCGAGACTTAGATTACTAACCTACCCTAAGTCGAAATCCCATTTAAACGCAAAGTCTCTTCGCGAGACTTAGATTACTAACCTACCCTAAGTCGAAATCCCATATAAACGCAAAGTCTCTTCGCGAGACTTAGATTATTAACCTACCCTAAGTCGAAATCCCATATAAACGCAAAGTCTCTTCGCGAGACTTAGATTACTAACCTACCCTAAGTCGAAATCCCATATAAACGCAAAGTCTCTTCGCGAGACTTAGATTACTAACCTACCCTAAGTCGAAATCCCATATAAACGCAAAGTCTCTTCGCGAGACTTAGATTACTAACCTAACCTAGATCTAAATCCCATATAAACGCGAAGTCTCTTCGCGAGACTTAGATTACTAACCTAACCTAGATCTAAATCCCATATAAACGCGAAGTCTCTTCGCGAGACTTAGATTACTAAACTAACCTAGAGCTAAATCCCATATAAACGCGAAGTCTCTTCGCGAGACTTAGATTACTAACCTAACCTAGATTTAAATCCCATATAAACGCGAAGTCTCTTCGCGAGACTTAGATTACTAACCTAACCTAGATCTAAATCCCATATAAACGCGAAGTCTCTTCGCGAGACTTAGATTACTAAACTAACCTAGAGCTAAATCCCATATAAACGCGAAGTCTCTTCGCGAGACTTAGATTACTAACCTACCCTAAGTCGAAATCCCATATAAACGCAAAGTCTCTTCGCGAGACTTAGATTACTAACCTAACCTAGAGCTAAATCCCATATAAACGCGAAGTCTCTTCGCGAGACTTAGATTACTAACCTAACCTAGATCTAAATCCCATATAAACGCGAAGTCTCTTCGCGAGACTTAGATTACTAAACTAACCTAGAGCTAAATCCCATATAAACGCGAAGTCTCTTCGCGAGACTTAGATTACTAAACTAACCTAGAGCTAAATCCCATATAAACGCGAAGTCTCTTCGCAAGACTTATATTACTAACCTAACCTAGATCTAAATCCCATATAAACGCGAAGTCTCTTCGCGAGACTTAGATTACTAACCTAACCTAGAGCTAAATCCCATATAAACGCGAAGTCTCTTCGCGAGACTTAGATTACTAACCTACCCTAAGTCGAAATCCCATATAAACGCAAAGTCTCTTCGCGAGACTTAGATTACTAACCTAACCTAGAGCTAAATCCCATATAAACGCGAAGTCTCTTCGCGAGACTTAGATTACTAACCTACCCTAAGTCGAAATCCCATATAAACGCAAAGTCTCTTCGCGAGACTTAGATTACTAACCTACCCTAGATCTAAATCCCATATAAACGCGAAGTCTCTTCGCGAGACTTAGATTACTAACCTACCCTAAGTCGAAATCCCATATAAACGCAAAGTCTCTTCGCGAGACTTAGATTACTAATTTACCCTAAGTCGAAATCCCATATAAACGCAAAGTCTCTTCGCGAGACTTAGATTACTAACTTAACCTAGATCTAAATCCCATATAAACGCGAAGTCTCTTCGCGAGACTTAGATTACTAACCTACCCTAAGTCGAAATCCCATTTAAACGCAAAGTCTCTTCGCGAGACTTAGATTACTAACCTACCCTAAGTCGAAATCCCATATAAACGCAAAGTCTCTTCGCGAGACTTAGATTATTAACCTACCCTAAGTCGAAATCCCATATAAACGCAAAGTCTCTTCGCGAGACTTAGATTACTAACCTACCCTAAGTCGAAATCCCATATAAACGCAAAGTCTCTTCGCGAGACTTAGATTACTAACCTAACCTAGATCTAAATCCCATATAAACGCGAAGTCTCTTCGCGAGACTTAGATTACTAACCTAACCTAGATCTAAATCCCATATAAACGCGAAGTCTCTTCGCGAGACTTAGATTACTAAACTAACCTAGAGCTAAATCCCATATAAACGCGAAGTCTCTTCGCGAGAAATAGATTACTAACCTACCCTAAGTCGAAATCCCATATAAACGCAAAGTCTCTTCGCGAGACTTAGATTATTAACCTACCCTAAGTCGAAATCCCATATAAACGCAAAGTCTCTTCGCGAGACTTAGATTACTAAACTAACCTAGAGCTAAATCCCATATAAACGCGAAGTCTCTTCGCGAGAAATAGATTACTAACCTACCCTAAGTCGAAATCCCATATAAACGCAAAGTCTCTTCGCGAGACTTAGATTACTAACCTAACCTAGATCTAAATCCCATATAAACGCGAAGTCTCTTCGCGAGACTTAGATTACTAACCTAACCTAGAGCTAAATCCCATATAAACGCGAAGTCTCTTCGCGAGACTTAGATTACTAACCTAACCTAGAGCTAAATCCCATATAAACGCGAAGTCTCTTCGCGAGACTTAGATTACTAACCTACCCTAAGTCGAAATCCCATATAAACGCAAAGTCTCTTCGCGAGACTTAGATTACTAACCTAACCTAGAGCTAAATCCCATATAAACGCGAAGTCTCTTCGCGAGACTTAGATTACTAACCTACCCTAAGTCGAAATCCCATATAAACGCGAAGTCTCTTCGCGAGACTTAGATTACTAACCTACCCTAAGTCGAAATCCCATATAAACGCAAAGTCTCTTCGCGAGACTTAGATTATTAACCTACCCTAAGTCGAAATCCCATATAAACGCAAAGTCTCTTCGCGAGACTTAGATTACTAACCTACCCTAGAGCTAAATCCCATATAAACGCGAAGTCTCTTCGCGAGACTTAGATTACTAACCTAACCTAGAGCTAAATCCCATATAAACGCGAAGTCTCTTCGCGAGACTTAGATTACTAACCTACGCTAAGTCGAAATCCCATATAAACGCAAAGTCTCTTCGCGAGACTTAGATTACTAACCTAACCTAGAGCTAAATCCCATATAAACGCAAAGTCTCTTCGCGAGACTTAGATTACTAACCTACCCTAAGTCGAAATCCCATATAAACGCGAAGTCTCTTCGCGAGACTTAGATTACTAACCTACCCTAAGTCGAAATCCCATATAAACGCAAAGTCTCTTCGCGAGACTTAGATTACTAATTAACCTAGAGCTAAATCCCATATAAACGCGAAGTGATGCTGAACAGTTAAAATTAATGATGCTGAACAGTTAAATTATAAAAAAGTTTGGAAGTTGGGGGCCTTCTCCAGGGCAATTTAAAGGTGTTGAGGGTATTTGCTGTTTACAGAATGATGAAAATAATGAGGAAATTTTGTTGGCAATTGCTGACAGAGAAAATAATCGAGTTCAATTGTTTGGGTAAATTTAAAAATGTTGGCAAAAAAATAAAATTTTAATTAATAACTTTTACTAATCATTACTTTTAATAATCACTTTTTAATTAATTTTTAGTGCTTTCATTAATAAAATGCATATAAACATTATTTAATTTTCTGATAACCGACTATGAATGACAGAAAAGTTAACAATCAAAAATAAATTTACAATATCAAAATTTAATTTAAAATAAAATACCAATCTTTATTTTCAAATAAATGCCCATAATTGAATCTCAACGACAAAAAATAAATCAAAATAAAATATATTTAGTGGAATGTGTGTGTGTGTGCTTAATTTAAAGACAATAATAGTGCATTAATTAAAATATATTAGAGGTTTTAGGGGAAATTAAATTTTAAATAAAATTAGATTAAATTGCACGAAAATTAATATTTGAAAATTGCAATAGAGAGAAAGGAATGAAATCAGAAAAAAGAACAAATTGCAAATAAATTTAAAATAATCACAAAAATATATTCATTGTTGGCCATTTACTGATTTCTCAATTCTTCATTTAAATCACCCAAAAAATTAGCAATAACTTCAAAGAAACGTTCAGGATGGAATAATTTTTGGAAATTATTATTAGAATATTTATTATTGTCTTCATAATCTTCTTCTTCTTCAATTTCGCCAAAAAAGTTTAATGTATTAGTTAATTGATTCTGAAATTTATATAATTAAAAAATATATTTAAAAAATAGTCGAAAATTATTTATAATATAATTTAGAAAAACATTTTCATTCAAAATTTAAGAAAGGATTGAAAAATCCTGAATATTCCCAAGTACCAAAGGGATGTTAATCTATTAATATTTTTATTGGAAAAAATATTTAACCAGTTTTTAAAATTAATTTCTCAAAATTAACTCTCAAATAATAACAGGCTTTGCATACCTTTAAACTTTGTATAGACTCTTTTAAGTGAACAATTTCAGTAGTTAAATGAGCAGAAAAAGCAGCTAATTGTTGTTGCTGTTGACTTTTTCCACACCCATTATTAGTAGTTGTTTCCTCTGTGAGATAAATTAACTCTTCTTCAACAAGTGATTGTCCACGTTCTAACGAATGTAATTCTTTGGAAATAGAAGCAAAATTGACTTGAAAAGAATATAATAATTAAAAATTTTTTTCAAATTTATTTCAAAATTAAGAATAACTACAATCCCCTTTATAAACTAAAAAAATCCACATATCAGTTAAAGGATATTTTTTTGGAATTTAAAGACATAAAAATCCACCTTTTGCAGCCTCTCCAATAACCAAACTCTTTTCGTTGCTAACAAAATTAGCCAATTCTGGATAATGTTTTTCAACAATTTTTGCAAGAATTTGTAATAAAGAAAAACCATTTGGAAAAATAAAAGAACAAATTGATTGTAATTTAGACGGTCGAAATGCTTTAATTAATTTAATAGTAAAATCACCACTTAATAAATTAATTGCAATTAATAATAAATGTAAAAGCATGTGGAAATGAGGTGAATTATAAAGTAAAGTAGCTGCTGAAGAAAGACATTGAATTTGCTGAGAAAAAAAGGAAAAATATTCCTATTATTTTGAAGAATCAAAATAATAAACTTTACTTTATTTAATTGTGCCAATCGTTCATTAAATTCACCAACAAAAGCCATTACAGCAAGTTTCTCACGTAAACGTTCAATTTTGGATAACTAAAAATTAACAAATTTTAAATAAAAAATAAACCTTAAAATAAATTTTTAACAAAAAATTATTTAATTTAATCAAAAAAATTGTTTTTACCTCAATAACAAATTGTTCATCTTTATCAAACAAAATATTTCCAGAATTATTATTATTAGAATGTTGTTGTTCAAATAAAGCAAAACGACGAATATCAGACTTAGTTGGAGCAATACATTCAACCAAATGGACTTGGGCTGGCTTGAGAATATTTGAATCAAGTCTAGAAAAGAAAAGATTTTTTCAATATTCCAGTAAATTTACCTATGAACAGCAAACATAACTTCAAAAGATTGTAATCCAAGTTGAGCACGAACATTAGAGACCTGGTTTTTCTGTTCTGGAGTTAATAAAGATCCAGAAGCGATTGATTGTTTTTCGAGAAGGTTTTCAAAAATTGAGAGGTCAAATTTCTAAAAAAATGTAAATTTTTAGAAATTAAAATATTTTGTCTTCTTGTATCAGGATTGCTAATAAAACTTGCAAACAGTAATTATGCAAGACAGTTAATGTTAAAATAAATAAATTAGAATGGGTGCCGGAAAATTGGGCTCTGGAAAATTGGGCTCCAAGATTTTTCGGAAATTTGGGCTCCAACTTTTCGGAAAATTGGGCTCCAGCGGTAATTTGGGCTCTACGTGAAAAAATCGGAATATTGGGCTCTAAAATTTTGGGCTCCGGAGGAATTTTGGGCTCTGAGGAAAAATGTCAAATTATGCAAACCTACGGAGCGAAGTCGATTTCTGGGTTCGGAACCTACGGCCAGTTGGTCTGGGTGAGTACTTGGCCCTATTCCTTTAAAGTATACTCAAATTGATTCAAATTGGTCGGTCCGATTCAGTGGAATTTGATAAAGAAATCCTATTCCTTCCAAGAACAGAAGGGCGTACACGCAAAATCTCCCGATTTCGAAGACTCATCTCTATTTTTTGCATAATTTGACATTTTTCCTCAGAGCCCAAAATTCCTCCGGAGCCCAAAATTTTGAAGCCCAATATTCCGATTTTTTCACGCAGAGCCCAAATTACCGCTGGAGCCCAATTTTCCGAAAAATTGGAGCCCAAATTTCCGAAAAATCTTGGAGCCCAATTTTCCAGAGCCCAATTTTCCGGACACCATTAGAATTCCCATTAGAACAAAAATGGATAAACAGGTAACCGTACAAAAAGATGGATAATTTCGAGAACGGAGTGGATTATATCAAGAAAAATCCTTTAATTATAAATAATTTCAAATAAAACAAAATTTAATTACAAAATCTCCTCACCTCAATAAGTTCATTAGAAGAACTAAAAGTATTGAAAACAGTTTTTTCCAATCCCGGACCTTCCAAAATTTTACACAAAGCTGGACTTTGAGGAAAATAAAGAGGTTCTTCTGAATGAATGTCAAAATTGTTGTTATGAGTATTTAAATGATGAAAATTTGTTGTAGGTAAAGGAGAAGCTGTTGTTGATGATGAAGAATGGCAATTTGGATTATCTTTAAAAAAATAAATTTTATTTGAATAGACTAAAAAATTTAAAAAAATCTGATTTTTGTAGGAAAAAAGGGACAAGAAAACTAGGAGGTAACTAAAAAAACAAAATTCTAAAACATACCAGCAATCCCCAAATTATTGTAATTCTCATAAATTTGCCCTCCTTCTTCTCCAATTTTCTTCTTTTTATTATTTTGATGTCCATTTTTATTTAAATTATTTTTAGCCGAATTTGTCATCATTTCTCCGTCATTAATTTCTTTCAAAAATTTTTGGCTAATTGAAAGGCATTCTTTCAAAAGCATTGTTTGAGGTCCTTCAGAAGTATTAATTCCAATAGAAGCTAGAGAAAAAGTTTCTCGATTCGAATCCTTTTGCTAAAAATAAAGAGTAAATAAATAATTTTAAAAGGAGAAAAATAAAACTCAAAAATATTTTTTTTTAATTTCATTTATCTTTTTTTGAGTATTTTTATTTTAAAAACGATCAACTAAATATAGGCAGGAATAATTATCTTGTTAGTTCAAACAGCAAGAAAACAATTTTTTTAAATTTTTAATTATGTTCTAATTTACCTTAAAATTAGCACAATTATTTTCATTTGCATTTCTAATAGCATTTTGCACATTAGACGAAGCAATATTTGGAGTTGAGTTATTTTGAAATGTTGGGAAGAATCCATTTAATTGTTGCAAATAAATAAAGGGATTGAATCCAAATCTGAGAAAATTAAATATTTTAAGAAAGTCTGAGGATAAGGGATATGAAAATTTTTGAAATTGACTAATTAATTTTATTGATTAATTTTTCCGCCTTACCCATTATTCGTTGAAGTAATTTTCTCCAAAACAGCTCCCATTAATTCATTGCTATTAATATTTAAATTTCCACCAAGATTAATTCCTCCTCCCCCCTCTCCTCCAGCAATTCCAATTCCCCCTCCTCCATTGTTTCCAAATAAAGGCGTAGAAGAATTACTAAATAAATTTGTTGGAACGGCTGGTTGTTGTTCAACTAAAATTGTTGTTTTTTGGTTTGAAGGAGAAGTACAACGGCGTTTATTGTGGCGATTAAATAAACGCGAAGTTGAAGAATAAGAATTGTTTGGATTGTTGTTGATGTTATTACTAGAAAATTAAAAAAAATATTTTTAAGAAAATAATAATTGGAATATTTTTTTTATTTTTTAAAATTTATTTGACATTAAAAATCACCTGTGCCCATTTGAACCAACACGGTTACGATAATTATGTTGATGTTGTTTTTGTTGAATATTATTATTGTTATTAGATTGTGTGGAAGCAACCAAAGCAGAATTAGACATTTGACGACGACGGGAAATAATATTTTTGCTGTTGTTATTTGGAGGGGGAGAAGAATCCAAATTTTGGCTAAAAGGAAAAAATTTTCTAAAGCAACCAAAATTCAAATGGGTAATTTTTTAAATTTTTAGAGTTTTTAATTGAAATTTTAAGATGGTAAGCTTTTGAGATAAATAAACAAATAAAAACTAGTGTTCGGCGCCGGACCGGATCCAGCCGGATTTTTCGGAATCCGTGTCCGTGTTTCCGAAATTCGAATTAAAACCAGACCGTATTAATCCGGAAAAATCTGACCTAATCCGGTCCGGCTAAAATTGCAAATCCGGAATCCGAGTCCGGAAAAATCTATTTTGTCGGCCACTAATAAAAATCAAAGGATAAAAACTAAAAATATCGTACCTCAAATAAAAGAGGAAGTAAATCAATAATTTTATTCATTATTTTTTAATTGCTTCTAAAAAATTATTTCTCACCAATTCACATCATTTAACGCCCAAAATTCATTTGTATTTGTCGGAGAAGAAACAATTCCTCCACCACCCCCATCTCTAATGCTGGCAGCATCCTCAGAGGAGACTACAGTATCTCCCCCTGGACTTCCCAAAATATTTTGTTTAAAAGCTTGTTGCTTCTTTTGAAATGTTTTTGAAGGTGCTGGTTGCTCGCTAATATTACTGGCACTGCCAAAACGCCCATGAACTGGACGGCCACGGCCTAAAAAATTTTTATTTAGATAAAATTAATTTAAATACCCCGAACATTCGGAAAACATTTTTTCATAAAATCATCAACTTGACCAGCATATGCATCCATAAAACTAATTGGGTCGCCCTAAAATAAGATAATATTTATTTAATTAAAAAAAAACAAAATTAAATACAGCCATTCCATGTAAAGAAACCATATGGCTTTTGACGTTGTTTTTAGAGTATGTTGAAGTAAAGTCACAAACAGGACATTGAAACATCGGTTTACCCACGTGGCATTGACGAATATGGCAAGGCAATTTACCTATAAATTGAAGTAAATTGATTGGAATTGTAAAAATTTTAAATAGGAAGGCAAAGGCCAAAATAATTATCTGCCTTTTTACAAGTTTTTATGAAGTAATTATTAAAATATATAAAATTCTCTTTATTTTAGATGATCTTTTAAATAAGTCTTTGCCCTGTATATTAGGTAATATGAGAGATTTTTATTTAAAATAACCCACTGCTGTGCACATTCTTTTGACAAAGCACACAAAACTGGAATGTATAAGGGTATGTCTAAAAATTTAAATTAAATAGAATGATTTTCGAAAAATCATTTGTCGACTTGGATTTGATAATAAAAGTAAAAATGTTTTGAAATCTTGGGGAAAATCGGGGATAAAATTGAAAGTAAGACGAGAAAAACTGAGAAAATCAAAATCCAAGTCAGAATCATTTTTTAAAGAAATTTACCCTTTTCCTGTCTGAAGCTGTCATTGTATTTGTGTTGTTTTCCTCTTGCCTTCCATTACTAGACCCATTATTTCCCCCTTTTCTGCCCATAATAGTATTAGAATTATTATTTAATTGTTGTTGTTTAGCAATATTATCACCAAAAAGTTGTCTAGAAATTTGTAAAATTTGATCAATTGGGGTCCCTCCATTAAAAGAATTTTGGGGAACAGCAAAAATATTTGGAGAAGGGTTATTATCTTCATTATTAGCTATGCTAATAATGTTGTTATTGTTAGAAAAGTTGTTGTTGTTAACAACACTTTCAATACCTTCATTGTTGTTAAAAACAAATTCTGATTCATTTCTTTCTCTAACTTCAAAAGAAGAATTACTTAAATTTTCGATTGGCGTTGTGTTTTCTTCCTCTCCGTTTGGCGTTCTTTCAAATCCATTTTCTAATAAGCTAAATAGACTTGCTGCAGACAATGGAAAAAGTGCTGCTGCTGAAGGGTTAGTTGATGATATGGATATTGGGAATTGGGGAAGATGTTGAGAGAATAGTTGTTGGGGCTGTTCATTGACGTTTATTTGTAATTTTGAATTTGGGGAGCCTAAAGTGATTTTAATTGAATAAGTCTTTAATTGCTCTTTAGCTTTCAACAAAAAAATATTTATTTCCTCACCTTCTCTCTCCATTAAATATCCATTATTATTGTTATCACTCCCTTCCTCAAAATTTGTTTCTTCTTTTATTAAACTTTTACACAAATCTTTAAATGAAATATGCTGACTTGAAGAAGAGGAAGGTGTTGGTTCTGTTGAATTATTATTACTAATCATTTTTGTAAAATTTAATTTTGTGAATTTATTGTTGTATAATATGTTTTGTTTTAATTTTTAATATCTTTTCATTTTTACAATATCTAAATTTATTTATAAATTATTTTTTAAAAATAATTAATTGAATCATTAATTGTGTGGAATCGACTGAATTTTAAGTGGAATTGGCTAAATCTTCTTAATTTTTATTTAATTGTATCGAGTATGTGTTATGTCTTAAATTTGGAAAAGCCTCAATAAAACTAATTCATCTTTCCGGCCAGGCAATTTTTAAAAGTGATATATATCAAACATACCTAGTCAAAAGTTATTTGTAATCATTATAGGGTAGTACTGTATATCCTTTAATAACTACCCTGGGTAATTATTGTTTCAACCTTCTGCTGGAGGGAGTAATTAATCGTGGGAGGGTAATTATACGAGGTTTGAAATTTGAACGTGTTTTAGGGCATTTGCTTGGGGGTAATTACCTATTGTTTCAATCCATCGCTGGACGGGGTAATTAATGGAAGTGGGGTAATTATTTGAGGGAGGGCAATTAATGGAGGTTATACGGTAACCAAATATTAACTTATTTTTGTTATTATCAGTTTTAAAATTAAAAAATGTTATAAACAATATTATGCTTCCTTTAACATTGAATACAATATTATTTACTTTTTCTTTACTTTAAATGCCACTTAAAATATATTACTTAGTTTGTTTAACACCAATTGTCATTAAATAATGTCCATAATATTTTGCTAATATTTTCCGGCATCCTTCAAACAGTTTTTTCCATTTCCTGCCTTTTTGTGCCATTTTCCGCCTCTATATACCCCACTTTAACATTTACATACACAAAAATATAGTGAAGAGACCCAAAAGCCTGGTGCGGGCCTAATCCCCCCCCCCCCTTCACTTTATTTTACTTTACTCGCCAACCTAACTTTTTTCTTCTTCCATCCTTTTCTTCTTCTTCCTCCACTTTTTCTTCAATTTTCTTATTATTATTCTTCCTTTCACGGCCAAGCGGCCATTTCCCGCCAGGGGATTAAGTCGGCCCGCAAAGCTTTCTCCCCTACTCAAATGCCATCTTCTCCCCACAAAAAGCTCCAAAACAACGCAAAAATTAAAAGAGAAAAGTCGGTGGGGTTTTTAACAAAATGGTAGATAATATAAAAATTTATATGCCTTTCTGTTCAGTAAATCCGCCAGTTTGCCGATTGCCTTCTTTTTTCTCTTCCTGCTTGCCTTAAGGCCTAAGCTTGCCTAGCAGGCGTTCATCAAACTAGGCAATAATGCCTTGGCAAATCGGAAAAATGCCGAGTTAATCCTTCCCATTTATTTTCTAAATAATAGCGGCATTCATTGTTTAGTGTTTGGGAGAGGTTTAGGATGAGGTTTTATTGGTTTTTTTGGGTAAAGGCTGGTTAAAATGAGAATTTTAATAGAAAAATTAGTTTAGATAAATATGAGAGAATAATTAAGAATTATTTTTATTTGAAAATATTTTTGAGAGTTATGTACCTTTCAGAAAATGATAAGCACCCCTTATTTTTTACGTACAAACTTAGGGGTGCTTATCATTTTTTGACAGAGTATATGGGTAAAACTTTTGTTATGTTAGCAAGGATAGCTTAATTTAGAAATTCATGTTCTAAAGCATGTCGAGATTAGTTTTCTATATTTTAACAGCAACTATTAAGTGTGGGAATATGCTTTTAAAAAAAGATGATTTCGAAAATATTTTCAACTAAAAATTAAAGTTTAAGTGAATTTTTAAATATTTTTTTAAAAGCTATTTTAAAATTGAAAAAAATTTAAATAAAGAAAAGTAATTATAAATAAATAAAAAAAATATTCTAGTTTAGAAAATTAAATTTAAAAAATATTCAGCACTGGAAAAGTTAAAAAAAGGAATGTTGTATAATTCAACGACTAAAATATTTTATAAATAAAGTTAATAAAAATTGGGAAATAAAGATGAGTAATATGTTTATTAAATATTTATAAATAGTTTTTAGCTGTTTTTTAGATGGTGTACTAAAAAAGTTTATTTTAATAAAATATATTTATTACCTTTTTTATTTAAAAAATTTTTTATGCGAAAATATTAAGGGGTTTTAGCTGATTAAATTACTATTTTTCATTTTAATAAACAATTTATTGAAAATACTTAAAAAACAAATATAAAATTTCAAAAACAGGAACTCGAAAAGCAAAATAAATTTGTGAATAGATTTATTGGAATAAACGGATTGTGAGAAAGATTCTGAACTCTCACCCCCCCCCCCCCCCACGAATCAGGGCACTACTTTGAATCAAAACCTATGACCATTCGCTCATTAATAACATTTTAACTTAATTCTGAATGGACAAATCTGAATCAGATTCTGAACTCTCACTAGATATTTTTAAAGAATAGATAATTTTTATAAGATTTTTATAATAATTTTATATAATTTTTATAATAATTTTTTAAAATTAATTAATTTTAAAAATCTTTTACTGGTTGTCAAAAAAGTAAATACATTTTTTGGGAGAGGGATTTAATATTAAATAATTATTAAAATTAAAATATATTTGGAATATGTGAGAACAAGAGAGAGAGGAGAGGAGAGGATATTCGCATATAATAAAGTTTTTTATTGCTATCCTTGAAATGCTTTTGAGGAGGCGGGTTGTAAAGGAGAGAATTACTGTGGATGTTGTAAAAATTTGGAGGAATTACCAAAATGGATTAAAAAATATATTTTTATAACAGAATTTCTTTAATTTTATCTATTTTCATTTAAAGTTAAGATTAATTCTCAAAAAGTTGTATTTGGATCTCAATAAAAGATTGAAAGACATTTTGGAGGCAAATCAACATTTTGAAGGATAACAAAAAAATAATTAAAGTAAATTAAAAATGGATGATGTTTTCTATTAAATACAGTAACAATTCTAAAATTATTTTGTTTCTTTAAAATAATTTTATTTGTTAAATACCTAATGCTTATCTAAAATAATAATTTAAAGCATTTTTTAATAAATAAAAAGGAAAAAGTAATTAAAACTAAAAAAAGAAAATATCATTGAAATGCCCAAATATTTTCTTTTTTTAAAGTAAAATGTTTGTTAATAAATGGGAAGTTTGTATAAATATAAAAATATTTCTCGGGACTTAATAAATAAATATTAAGTCCATCAGGCGGACTGATAAGAAAATTGTTTAGAGTTTGTAGAAAATAAAGAATGAAAAATATAAAAAAGGAATGTCAAAACTTTGAGTAGAAAAAATAATTTGGAATTAAAAATAAAATTAATTGTAAAATTTAGGAAAAGGTATGGAATTACTTAGGTAAATACTCAAAATTTAAAAAATTAATTTTATAAAAACTTTAAATTACATATTTTAAGACCGCTTAATTCTAAAAAATTAATAAAATAAAATATTTAAATATATTCTCGATAATTAAATTGTTATCAGTCTGCGCCTATAAATGAAGAAAAGGAAAGGTTTTGATGTGATAATAAAAAGTAAGTTTATGTGTTTTTAAACGAGAATTGGGTATATATGAAAAGTAATCAGAATTAAATGGTACAAATGTAAGGAAATAAGGAAATAATTTAAAAATTCTTTTTGATAAAGTAAGAAGATGACGAATAAATAAAATAAAGCAAGCGACCTAGCCCATCCATAAAAAATATTTTCTGAATTTTTAGAAAGCTATGAAGCTAAAACTCCTCTATTTTGCAATGCAGACGAAAATTCCGGGATTTTCCGCTTATTGTTTTCTTGACCGGAATTTTCCGCCTACACAGTAAAGCCCATTTTGTAGATAATTTTTGTCAGCGTTCAATGTTTGCTTTCCGGCTCTGCAACAGGATTCTTAAGGTGATTTTTGTGGTACAACATACTAAGGTATACTAAGGTATGTTGTACCACAAAAATTTTAAGTACTTTTAAAATCCTGTTCCTAGCGCCGGAGAGCTAATATTAGCGTTGACAAAAATTAAACTTTTTAGAATTTATGAGATAAAATAATTATTAAAAAATAATGAATATACTACATACATATATCAATTCAATTTTAATGAACAAAAAAAGTTTTTAACTTAATAAAATAGAGAAAGATGAAAGTTTTTCCTTTCTTTCTCTCAATATTCTCATTTAAATGAAACAAACTTAAATAATAAAATACAAATTTAATAACTAAGCTTTACACAAATGAAGCATTAAAAGTTAAAGAAGACGAGAAGGTTTCTTTTCTTTAAAAGAAGCCAAAAAATATATAATTATTTAAATGTTAAATATACAAGACTAATCAATTTATACAAAATTTTTAAAAAATTAAGTTGGAAAAAGTGAAAAAATAAAACTTTAAATTATTTTAATATTTTCTTTGTTAAGTTTATTTTTTTTATTTTAAAAAGGGGAGATTTAAAAAGGAGATATTTTTTTTAACATTCCTTTAATTTTTAAAAAATTCTTCGAATTATTTTATTTAAAAAATTATTAAAAACAAAATTTATTTGTTTATTACCTCCTTCCTCATTATGACTCACAAATATTTTTACTTAAAATAATTAATTTTTATTAAATTAATTTCATAAAAAATAATTTTAAAAAATATTATTTTTTTTTAATTTTATGGCTTCATTTCTTCACTTATTTACGTATTCTTTTTAGTTTTGTTAAAAAAAGAGGCGGGAAAATCCAAAAAAATAAGCTTTCAATCAGCCTAATTGTCCTTACATAATTCCCTCTTTATTTATCCTTTTCTTGAAAATTTTTAAAAAATTGTGTGAAAGGATTATGCCGTTAAAAAATAAATTCCTCGCGCCTTTCCCTTAATCTTAATTTTCTTTAAAACCCAACCAAAGGCTTCTCTATCTCCTCTTAAAGTTGTTATCTTTAATAAATTGTAAAAGGAAAAAAAGAGGCGGGAAAATCCACCAATGGGGCTGAGTGAGACTTTATTTTACGGAGTATTTACGGATATTTAAATATATTTTTGGCTTCATCACTTTAACAAATTAAATTTTAA